ACATCAGGTATCTGTCCCTGCTCATTGCAGGGGGGTCAGACTGGATGGTCTTTATAGGTCCCTTCCAACCCAAAATATTCTGTGATTCTATGAAAAAGTCTCTTTTCAGTTCCTCAGATTTCTTAGTAGGCCAAATGTTTCTTCCCAGCTTTCACTCTATCAGAAAAAAAATGGACAATCTGCAGAGCTCAACTTTTCAATATGAGAGACAAAGTCAAACTGTCACCTATTGACAAATTTATACATAAAAGCAGAAAATTCCACTCTCCAACTTCCCAATCTTCTATTAAATGGAAAAAAAAAAAGAGCACTTAAAGAACAGGTTGAGGGGTTTTTTCCTCCCCCTGTGCAAGAGACTAAGAGAATTACAGTTAGCTATCAGTTCATCTACTTTAAGGCAATTATCTAATTTGAAGGAGAACTGAGTTTCAGGAGTCCATTTCACATCAGCCTTAAGAAAAGGTGGGGGCATTCCCTGGACAAAAAACAAGGCAAACAGCCTAAAAGTCAGAGCATGGAAATGCTTTCAGTGGGAGACTGAGGTCCCTGAGCTAATGATTTCCCAAGCTGAAAGATAAGCAAAAATGAGATCTCATGTATTAGAGACTTGCAGTAAACAGGTCCTGCTGTTTCCAAAATCTTTCGAGTAGTGTTTGAGAGATTAGACAGCAAATACTTTAATTTTTCAAGTATGATTAATGGAATCCATGATTACTTTAAGACATGCTCATTCAGTATGCACATTTGTGGTAATGATATCTTATTATTATGGTAATAGTGTTCTTACATAAACATGCATAATAGGTTTTAAAGGTGCTACACATGATAATTATTAGTTATCACGATGTCAGTTGCTTAAGGAAAATGTTTAATTACAGGTTAAACTGATCAGATGCATGTTTTGTTTAATGTATAGCTTTGAGGAACAGATAACAGAGGCATCTCGGGGCTTGTCCGTGTAGTCTGGAATTAAAATTCCAAGACAGAACTACAGTAATCCTTGCCTAAGCACAAGAGAGTTTCTTCAGGTGCTAGAAGAAGAAAAAAAATCTTGTTCTACAGATCTTAGATTATAAAAGAGTGAAACTGGGCTGAAAAGAACAAAGAACGAAAGGAGATTTAGCAAATAAAGGGAGATGGAGAAAACAAGGAGGGGAAAAAAAGAGGATTATGGCAACAGGAAAGGGAAATCATTACAGGTTTCCAGCAAAGGCCTCCTGTGGCAGCATGAGGAGAGGTGATGGTGATGGGACTGACTGCAGGGCTGAGGGGTGGGAGGAGAGCAGGACACGTCTCCAGGTGAAGGTGAACACTCCTGTGAGCTCCAGGTCTGCCTTCTGTTCCAAGGAGTACAGAAGGCAGTGGGATCTGAAGAATCAAGATAGCTGTTATCTCCAGAACATAGAGCTATGAGAAGCAGGTCTCACAGAAGACATACATTAGGGATTTGATTGTTTCCAAGGAAGATTTAACATAAGCTGGAAGGAAAAACAAAAGTCAGCCTAGGCACTCAGAGTAAAAATAAATGCAGGACTTGGGTGGGGGGATACATCCAGCCACGAAATCCTCTAATTTTTCCCAAATGCTAAAAATAATAAGTAATTATGCTTCTGCATCTTATGTCCATCAGTCAGAAATCACAGTATGAAAGGAGAAGTTTTAAAGAAAGTGTTAATGGGCCAGACCTTTCCATCTGCCTGGTACTTGCCTTACATCCAGTTCTCTTGCTTTAGCAGTTAAAAAAACCCCAAACAACTCAAAGAGAACTTGAATAAATGAAAACCAGCATTCTGTTCCTGATTCTGTATGATGATGGCACTGCACACCATCATGGCAAGGGAATGACACATCTAAAAATCTGCACTGAGTGTTTGCAAACATGGGAGCAAATGTTGTTGCCCAGAGAGATTGTGGCCTCCTTATCCCTGCAAGTGTTCAGGTCTAGGCTGGATGGGGCTCTGAGCAATCTGGTCAGGTGGAGGTGTCCCTGTCCATGGCAGGAGGGTGGAACAAGATATCTTTAAGGTCCTTTCTAATCCAAACCATTCTGTGAGTTTATGAAATAGTCACACTGGCAGCACAGCCTCCCAAAGCCGGAATCAGTCACATTTTGCTGTGGAATGAGAAGTGACTTTCCTTGCACAGGCACAAGCTGCAGCTTGCTTTTGTTTTTGTAAACAATAGAGGGATTATTTCTACTGCCTCATCAATTTGGCTTTGCATCTCACAGATGTATACAAACAACCACTGTGCCGAGTACACAGTGTAAACAAGGTGTAAGACACAGCAAAATGCAACAGAATTTCTTTGTTATCTGCCCTGGCTCAGTCACAGCCAAGTGACAGCACACGGAGCTGCCACAGCAGATGAAGCTGTTCCTGCCCGAGCAGAGCAGGGGAGGAACAAAGCACGGGAACCTGAGTACCACAAGCACAGACAGCAGCTTTGCTTACCAGCCTGCTGTCTGAATGTGACCTAACTGGTCTTGGAACCAAGCTGG